CTCCGTGCCGCGTGTAGCCGCGCGGCACGGGGTTCGAACTAGCCGGGATTTAAAAATGGCGGTGCCCGGCTTATGCAAATGAAGCCCGGGAAATTCAAATCCCGGGCTTCATTTGCAAGTGCGGTATGCCTACATTACCCTCCTAGTTCGAATTAGGAGGGTAGTGTAGACATACCCCCGGTCAAAGGCTGTGAGTCTTCTCCCTTTTCTTTGGTCTCTTTCAATCATAGAATCATAGAACCATAGAGCTGGAAGAGACCTCAGAAGGTCATCAAGTCCAGCCCCCTGCTCTAGGCAGGACCAGTCCCAAGTAAATCAACCCAGCCAGGGCTTTGTCAAGACGAGACTTAAACACCTCTAGGGATGGAGACTCCACCACTTCCCTATGTAACCCATTCCAGTGCTTCACCACCCTCCTAGTGAAATAGTTTTTCCTAATATCCAACCTGGACCTCTCCCACCACAACTTGAGACCATTGCTCCTTGTTCTGCCATCCGTCACCACTGAGAACAGCCTCTCTCCATCCTCTTTGGAACTTCCCTTCAGGAAGTTGAAGGCTGCTATCAAATCCCCCCTCACTCTTCGCTTCTGCAGACTAAACAGAATCCCCACTTCTTCCATCTCAAATCTATTCTCCAGTTATCCCGCTACCTTTCAATTATTTTCTATCCCCTTTAACCAGTTGATTGCTGTTATCCTCTTATTTCTCCCTTTTCCTCTGGTTTCTCCCTTTCTCTGGTCATTTTTTCCCTCTTTATGCTGTTCTCTTTCCTTCCACCCCTCTAACTGCCCCCATCCATCTGAGGGTCTCACCTTCATTCACTTTCTTGCCTCTTCCCATATGAATTGAATTTTTGTCCCTGCCAAAATCATGTCCCTTCCTCCTTCAGCACTTTCTGTTTCTGATCCCTGTTTCTGGCCTGTTCCTCAACATGCATCTCTCCTTGCTTCCCAATCACCAGATTCTGATCCCTGTTTCTGGCCTGTTCCTCAACATGCATCTATCTCTCCTTGCTTCCCAATCACCAGAATAGGGCAGAATTGAAATGCAGAATAAGTCTCACAATTTTAGGGGAAAAACAGACACACAGAAGCCTTCATTCTTATTCTATGGGGCTTAATGGGTCACTGCTAGGTCTGGGTAAATAATTTGCAAAGATTAAAGTATTCAGCTAATTCTTCCTGCTTTCCCATTTGCGAATCATCCACCAACAGACTGTGAAATGCAGACATTCGTTCAGGATTTGAAATGATTCCTGGATTTTACAGTGACTAATTGCTGCTTTGCAGAGTGAAGATATTTGGCACCTGAGCTGATGCTTAAGTCATGTGGTATTCGTTCTGATTCCTGATTGGACGCCTTGTGTTACTAACCTACCAGGATTCAACTTTTAAGTGGAACAGTCAAGTGTAAAATCCCAATGTGTAGGTGGATGGGTCTGCCAACACTGAACCTCATTGAGGGCCTAATTTGCACGCTGCTGGTTAGTTATACAATTCAGACAGGGCCTCAGGCCTAGCGGGGGGAGAGTTTGGTGACTTCCGTGAGGGGAGCGGGTGAAAAGGGCAGCACAGCCTGCGCCCTGTGAGATTTCCATCCCCCAGGACTTCCAGAGTGGGCCGGAGGCCTACTGAGATTTGCAGCCAGAATAGGAGCCCAGAGCTCAGATTTGTTTCTGGTTTGCTGGTTTCCCGCACTCCCCCCCTCCCAACCTCCTAGTGCAATGACAGATTATACCCCCCTCCTGATGGGAGCACCCCAAGAGTTGGCAAAGGATCAAGGGGCTGTCAAGTGACTGCACTGGGCAGTCCCCCAGCAGGAACCTTGAATGTAATTTGACTAGTAAACATGCAGCCTGGTTAAAATCCTTTCCACAGGGCTTTGTCACCTCCCCTGAAGTGAGCACACCAAACTGGGAGGGCTATGCAGTTCAGAATGGGGTGGGTATCTGTGCATCCAGGCTTAAAGCACGTCTGTGCTAGACTACTCACAGAGAGCAGACCCAGTGGGCGGGGGGAGGAGGATAAAAGCCATCCGGGCAAATCTCAAACATTTGCAGGATTTTGGGGTGTATGACATAACGGATCGGTGTGGTATGCTTGTCTGTCCCATGCTTGGTTGAAGCCACTGCTGGGAATCCTGTGAACTCTTAGGAACTCTACAGTTTAAACAAATTCATCCAAAATTATAAAAGCAAGAAAGACGCCCCCAACAACTCTCTGGAGTCTCTGGGATTTTAAGACATGAGATAATAGTAACCTCTTTGTCCTTGTCCTTGAAAGCCGCTTCCCATTTTCCCACTCCCAGCACCAGCACTGCACATGTCCACCCACAAATGCAATAACCCTCTGTAATTCGTGTTTAAAAATATTTTCTCCAGCTCCCTGATGATGAGCTGTTGCCATCTGGGGTCTGAAGATGTGAACGACGGGCTGGTGAGAGACAGCTGCCAGTGGATACTCTGCTCCCTGACCATCTGGCTTAGTTCCTTGGCTCGGTACCACCAGCTCCTGAAGCTGGTTGTCTTTGTGTCTTTCAGTAACGGTTCCGCCACCAAGTGCCCTGAAGGTGACCGAGCTCTCAGGAAACAACGTCCAGTTGCAATGGGAAGCAGCCGCTGCCTCTGATGTCCTTGTTTATCAGATTAAATGGAATGCAGTTGGAGAAGAGAGCTCCCAGGAGGTATGGTACTGTACAAGAGGGGAGCATGAGGTGGTGCCTGGGTCTCCCAGGATCTGTGCTGTGCCCTGGCATTCCAGCAATCCCGTGGGAAGATCCCTTCAGTGTGCCAGTCCTCAAGGGGCCACACTATACCACAAGGGTCGGCCATAGGACAAGGGTGGGCAATAGGCTGGAGGTGGTTCGCTAGGATTAGCTCCTGATAGGCTACTGGTGCTTTATTTACCTGCATGCCTGCAGGTACGGACACTTGCAACTCCCATTGGCTGCAGATTGCCATTCCTGGTCAATGGGAGCTGCGGGAAACAGTATGGACTGGGATACTGTTTCTCACAGCTCCCATTGGCTGCAGATTGCCGTTCCCGGCCAATGGGAGCTGCGGGAAACAGCATGGCCTGGGACACCACTTCTTGCAACTCCCACTGCCTGGGAACGGAGACTCGGGGCAAATGGAAACTGCAAACATCTTTACCTGTAGGTAAATAAAGTGCCAGTGACCCACCAGGGACTAACCCTGGAGAACTGCGTGCAGCCTGTGGGCCGCTTTATGGCCCACCCTTGCCACAAGGCCTCGCTGCTTGTAGGCTGCGTCTTGGGCTCCCGCACTCCTGTCCCTCATTGTGAGCTCTACCCGCTGAGGCCGACTCCTGCTCAGAAGAAGGGCCAGAGTGTGCATTTCACATTCTTTGCTAGAGCTGGAATAAGTCTGAGACATGCTGGTGGGACAGTGAAGGGGGTGCAGCTGCCTCGGATGCATCTTTCCCATGAGAAAATAGGGGATTTCACATGTACCACAGATATCAATTTTTTACCAACAGTTAATTCATAGAAATTACACGTGCAATTACACAGTTTGCACACACAATCCGAGGGAACGGACACACCGATTGAGCCAAATGCATCTCCCCACCTGTCGCCGCTGTCATTGTCCACCTACTGTGAAGCCATGCTGAGCTCATGGGTGCAGCCTGCTGGGAGCCTCCCATTGATAGGTCAATTGTTAGTTCCCTGGGGTTCCCATTGGCTCAGTAGGGTCTTCCAGTAGGATAGGTGAGTTGCAGCCAGCCCTTAATGACTCAAAGTTACATGGCAAAACTCTTCGTGTCTCTTGCTGTGCCCCCGGTGCAGCATTTTAACTTTTCTACACCCATTGAGTAGCAATGCAGAGCCATACTGGTAGTTCATAAATAGGTACAGAGCCATACAAGTAGTTCATCAAACTATCCCAGACAATTCCCACTTCCATCACAGACAGTGTTGTGTCTGTTCAGGGCTGTCGGAGTTCATAAATAGGTACAGAGCCATACAGGTAGTTCATCAAACTATCCCAGACAATCCCCACTTCCATCACAGACGGTATTGTGTCTGTTCAGGGCTGTCGAACATGTATATATCATATGCCCTGCCAATGGCTACATGGATACTAACACATGGTCTATATAATGTAGTCCTCAGTGGGTAAGAGACTGGAGACACATGCAAAACAGGTGGATCTAAGGGTGTGTCTAGACTACAGGGTTTTGTCGACGAAGTGGACTTTTGTCGACAAAACTATACCTGCGTCCACACTGCCTTTGAGTTATGTCGACATAACATCGACAAAACTCAGCAGTTTTGTTGACGTATGTAAACCTCATTCTACGAGGAATAACGCCTTTTGTTGACAGAGTTCTGTCGATAGAAGGCATTATTGCATCTACACTGTCCTTTGCGTCCACACTGTTATGTCGACAAAGCGGCTAGCTTTGTCAACAGAACTGGATGTAGTCTAGATGCTCTTTGTCGACCGAAGTTTTGTCGACAGTATCTGTCGACAAAACTTCTGTCGACAAAACCCTGTAGTCTAGACGTACCCTAAGATTTGGCATGTAACTACTTACTGTAATCAGAATGTCCAGACTGCGCCGGCAGCTGCAGTGCACTAAGGCCAAATTGTTCATTCACATTTATGAAAGCCACAAGGGTGGGATTTGGCCCCAAAGGCCTCTGCCAGCACATAACTACCCCCTAGCATCCTCTCCCCCTGAAAACGATGGGTCAGCTGGTGTGAATGATCATAGTTCCATTGATGGAATTCCATTGAAGTCAGTGTTCAGCACTGTGTGTGACACCCATAAACAAAACTACGTCCTTTTCTCTCCCCACCACTGGCTTACCACAGGAGATCTTGAGCTCCAATTGTGCAATGTTCCTTTAAGGTAAACATAGGGATTGGCGGGGAGACAGGGTAGAGTTTTGATGATCTCTAATTCCTCATGCATGACCATACAGCTTGTCAGGTGACAGAAGCTGTATCACAGAGTTGGTAACTGGGGTCAAGGGACAGTCCGGAGGCCTTCTCCTGAACCCTCCCTTCTGTTTACTCCTCAGCCGCTTATCTGCGGCTGGGCTTTTGCAAGAACATCAGACACAAGATAGTCACCCTGGCTGGTCCATCGTTTCTTTATAACTCTGCAAACACTGAGTGTCCTTATGCGAAGAGCGTGCAGATCATTCGGTCTGAGGTGACCAGCTCTTTTGTCAGAAGAGAGACTTGTTATGCCGTACTCAGCCAGGGATTTATAGATGTCTGTGAGCTCCACTTCCATTCACCTGTCGTCCTCACCACAGCTGTCCGTGGCTGGGAACCTGGCTGCTGCCAACCTGCCAGGGTTGAAAAAGAACACGGAATACCAGATATCGATCTGGGCGTATTACAAGGATGGCGCTCGGAGCGACACTGTTTCTATTCTTCACAGAACCTGTAAGTGACCAATGTGCAATCTCTAGGGCTTCAGGGATGGGAGGGTTCAGAACTAGTCACAGGCCAATAAGTCAGGTTTGAACCACAGGATGTCCCAGGCTTAAAAATGTCTAAAAGTGCCTTGAGAGACAAAGTGGAAGAGGGATTGTCTTTTATTAGACCAACTAAGTCACGGGTGATTTTCAGTGACCAACACAAAGTAGCTTATAAGGTCTTAAGCACCTGCCCTCTGAAAGCCAGTCCTCTCTTAAGGTGTTTCAGGTGGGCTAGCCAGAAATGGAGGTAGCCAATATCAGTAATTGCCCTGGGGGATTCAGGGCCCAGTGCATAGATTTTTTTTGGTGGGCGTGCATATGAAAGATGAATGATTTCAGTTACAAGCACTTGCTCTCCCCCCAGTCCTCTGCAAAGCTGTGAGATTGCACCTTCATCCTACCAGGAGAGTATTTTGCTTTGGCACTCGAGGGGTGAAATCCTGGCTCCATTAAAATCAATCACAAAACTCCTTTTGCCTTCAGTGGAGGCTTGCACACTGGAACTGGTGGACTGGTAACCTTTGTATCCCTGGGGATCTCTTGGTGAATTGCTGGAAAACTAAGAGGGTCCACTTTTAGGAGGCATTTTGAGCACTGAAGAAATGCATTTTAATAACATGCAAAAATATCCTGCTTGCTAGAGACAGCTGTCGATGGGACCATTGACTGTTCCTTGGTGATGAGGGCTCTGTCTTTTCAAAGCTTGGTGGAAAATTCATCAGAACCTAGGACATCTGTCTTAATATAGTCTTTCCTAGGCATGCCCTTTAGCTAGGGTTGCTCTGTGTACCATGAGGCAGTGTATGTTCCAGTGTGTGTTCCACTGTGTAAAAGTTGACATTTGTTTTCTTAACTTCAGGTGAAATATATTGGGCAGGTCCCTAGTGCTGTAGACAGCATGCTGGGCGGTTGATACATTATACATTTGCCGTCTGCTCAAGAAAGCAGGCTGGTGTGATAAGCCTTGAAATGTGGTTTTGCTTTTCCCCATCAAAGGATATAGAAAACATTGGAGTAGATGGCACTGACTTTCTGTGGGCTGTTTAATTCACTGTCTACATGTTGCCTAATGAATGTTGTTTGTTTTTAACATGCTGTCTATTCAGGAAGATGTGCAATCCTTTGGGGGCCTACTTGCTGAGTCATTGTGCAGTTAGACTCTGCTCTGAGGGAGAGTTGAATCTTGCTTGGTGCAGACAGAATGAGGTTAAAAAAGGTCCTCTTAATTAATATTCCCTGTCTAATGGCTTTGCAGCCAGTAAATGGAACACGAGCCATTTTGCATCCGTGATCTCCTCTGAGTTCCCAACAGTCTCTGCGGAATAGACTCATTCTGTCTAGTTTTGTGGTTTCTGAGTTGCCGAAACTCAGAGGGCACAGCTGTCTTGGAAGCCAAAGCCCTGCTTGTATGAATAATGAATAATAAGAATGTATTCTTGCGTAAAGCTACCTGCGGCGGGATGGGAAGAGCAGTGCCGCACCAAGGTGAATCAATGCAATGCTCACTTTGATGCCATTGTACGGGGGAGAGGGATAACTGTAGCTGGTTGGAGGCACCCGTAAATAAACTGGTATGTTTCAAAGTGTGAATTTCACAATGTCAAACCTGAGCCGTGAGCTCAGACCAGAGCCGCGTCGCACAAGTCACTGCAGAGGGCTCTTGCGGGTGCCCTGGTTAGCTTACTCAGAAGACAGAACAAGAGCAGAAGTGGCCCTAAGGTGTATTTTACATTATTTGCTAGAGCTGGAATAAGTCTGAGACACACTGGCGGGACAGTGAAAGGGGTGCAGTTGCCTCTGATGCATCTTTCCTATGAGTAAATAGAGGATTTCATGTGTCACCAGGGATATCAATGTTTTACCACCAGTTAATTTATGCAAAGGCGCAGATGCTCCACAAATTGTACGCACAGTTTACACAGCAGAAATACATTCTGACATTACATGTGCAATTACACAGTTTGCACACCCAATCCGAGTAAATGCACACACAGATTGGGAATGGATTTTGCATGCCCAACAGGATGTCTTGCAACTTAAAAGAGAAAATGCCAGTGAAGAAAAGTGAAGTAAGAGGAGGAGGTGGTTTCAAACAGTGAATATTGCTCATGAGGAGCCCAACAGGGCTTGTGGTCCCAATGGCCTGAAAAGGCTAAGGCTTTGTCTACACTAGCACTTTACAGTGCTGTAACTTTCTGCCTCAGGGATGTGAAAAAACACCGTCCCCCCATGCACAGCAAGCTACAGTGCTGTAAAGCACCAGTGTGAACCAGGCTACATTGCAGGGAACTGCATTTCCAGCACTGTTGGCTACTCCCCTTGTGGAGGTGGTTTACATAAAGCTCGTGACGGGGCCACCCTTTCAGTTTAAAGCCCTGTCGTGGCTGCCCTTTAAACGTGTAAGTGTAAACAAAATCTATGGCAGTGGGTGTCCTGGTAGAGAAAGGAGGGATGAGGCAGGGTCATGGAAAGACTTGTGCTCTATTTGGGGGCTAAGCTGAAATCAGCATCTTTGAGAAAATCAGTCCGATTAACGGTACAATTCTCCACGCTGACATTCTTTTTCAAACAGATGAACTACCAATGCTGCGTCAAAAATCTTCCCAGCCCTCCTCCAAGTCTTACAGTGCCCCCTACCCAAAAGGTGCATGCCTGCTGTGATGAGAGAGCACCTGGGTGCACAGTGGGAGGTGTATGTGGGATGAAAAACGACTCATGTTCTTCAGGTCGTTTTTTCTCACCCCTCCAAAATATAAAAGAGTATTTTGTGCAGCAGCATGCAAGGAATGCAGCAACCTAAGGGCAGCTGCAGAAATGAGGCTACTGCCCTGGAAGTAGTGAGGCAGCTGCTATTCTTCATCTTGAGAAGGATGGGATTGGACTCAGATCTTTAAGACTCACCATGACCAGTATTCCCTCGAACCTGTTTTGTCCATGTGCGGATTTTTCCCGTCCATGTGCGGAATAATTTTTGATGTGCACCAAAGCATGTGTGAATGTGCACCACCAGTGGAAACAAAAGCTCACAGCGGGTGCTCTGCTAATCAGCTAGGCAGCGTTGGAATCTCTTCTGAGCAGCCACACAAGCGCACAGCTTACCAGGAACGCCAATGACAAACTGTTCTTTCAAAAGCTTGGATGAGTGAAATGAAGCGCTCACCCCCTGTCCCTGGATCTAAGTCCTACTCTTCCCCCCGAGGTTGCCACCTATCTGCCTTTTTCCTCATGGACAAAATGGTCAGAGTTGGACACTGCACATTTCAGGCCTTGTGTTCTGAAGTGGCAGCAATGCTGAGTCAGCGTAAGATGAGGCTTCATCAGCATGTTGCGACCCGGCGTTATTGGGCAGGATGGCAGTTCAAAGACCGGACCTCTTAGAAATAGGTTGTGATGGAGCATCAAAAAAATGTCTGGGGAAAAAAATAGGCCTCCGCTTGCACAGCAAGCTGGATTTTGCCAGACCCAAGACTCAGGGCTGGATTAAGACATGCTGAGGCCCTAAAATATGTCAGATTTAAGAGGCCCTATTGCATTACCAAAAAGAAGTGTATAAATCTAACAGAAAGGACAATGAAAATAGAAATAATAAAGTGTTATATTTCCATATAGACTGGTACATAGGTGAGGATGCAACTTAAAGCTAGTAATTGTTTGTATTTAGAGAGCCCGCATAACCAGAAGCCCTAAACTTAGGTGGTGGGGAGCAGGGCTAGCCCAGGCACATGCAGATCTCAGGATGCTGCCTGTCCTGCACACGGTCCCAGCAGAGTGCACGGGTGAGTCCATCCCAACCTGTCCCCACCCTCCCTTCTACTGTGTAATTGTGTACTGCCTGGCTGGTGGACACGCTCATGTAGCATGAACGTGTCTACCGGCCAGGCAGTACGCAACTACGTACTGATACTCATGATAATAATAAAACATATTTAATTAGAAAATACTGGACATTTATATGTCCGGTATTTTCTCAATTTGTTTCCTGGACAGAACCGTCAAATACCGGACTGTCCGGTTCAAAACCAGACACCTGGAAACCCTACCTAAACTGTATCTTCCTTAGCTTGTGCATAAATTGGGTACTGCCAAGAGTGAAGTGCCTGGCCTGGGAGGAGAACACAGGTTGGCCCATGACCCCCTTGAGTTAGCATTCACAGTGGCCAAGTCATGAATAGAGAGGCCATCGGACGCAGAGTTCAGGAATTAAGTTTCAGGAAACTAATGGTGAGGAACTGAAAGGCCAGGGAAGAACCCAGAATACGGAGCAATGAGGGCAAGAAAACCCCAGCTGTATCATGTGTATAATAATGAATGGATAAGGCTCGGAAGGGACATTTGAAATGGGCCGCAGTGCAGCTTAGCAGAGAGCTCGGGGGCTTTACTCTGATTCGAGGACATGTACCTTTATGCCAGTTAGAATCAGATGGCTGAAACTCCTCCGGTGCTGGAAGCATGGAAAAAGGTTTAAATGGCAACACACGAGGCTGGCACAGATGGCACCCTCTGCATCAGAGATGCGCACTTCCTTGTGGGCGGCCTAGAAATTTGACCTTTCCCTTCTCTGTCACATCCAGGCTGTCAGATTCTGCAGGGCTCTAGGAGATTGCCAAGTAGTTCCAACTTCCAAGTTTTCAGCTAACTTATTCTGTCTGGTGTGCTTAGGTTATCAGAAAGCAACGACAGGAAAACAGTGACTTGATGGCATATCCTAGCAGAATGAAATGACTGGTACAGGCAGCAAACCTGTAAGGGTCAGTGGGTGCTATGCACTGGATTGGGGGCAGTCTTTTCTAATGGTCATGATGGGAGGTTGATGTGGAAGTGACAGGACCTAGAGGCAAGGAGCCAAGCTACCAGGGGAGTGAAATGCAGCCAGGAGCCAGGAATCAGGTGCCAAAGGATCAGACCCAGATAATCAGTCAGAGCAGGGACTGGCAAAAGGAACAGAAACCAGGAACCATGAGCCAGTGGGAAGAAGCCAGGAACAAGGAGCAAAGAGCAGAAGCAGACCAGAAACCCAGCAGCAGACATGGAATGCTATTGAGCAACCAGGAACCTGCCACTGTAACAAGATTTAAGGATGTGCCTAATAGTCTTCAGCCAGTCAGAAGGCCTGGTTCATCCACTAAGCCACACACAGTCAACCTGAGGAACTCCTTGCCAGAGGATGTTGAGAAGACCAAGCTTTTAACAGGGTTTAAAAAAGAACTAGATAAATTCATGGAGGTTAGGTCCATTAATGACCATTGGACAAGATGGGTAGCAATGGTGTCCCTAGCCTCTATTTGTCAGAGGCTGGGTATAGGTGATGGGGGGCAGATCACCTGTTCTATTCATTCCCTCTGGGGTACCTGGCAATCCCCTCTGTCGGAGGACAGTGCCTATAGTAGGCATTCTGGGGGTGCACTATGGGTGGGACCAGACCGGCAGCTTGGGAAGGCAAAGCCTTTCCCTGCCTAAAGTTTTTCTTCCAGCTCCCAGGCCCGTCTTGTCTCAGTGTCGAGTCCTCTCTTTACACCCTGGGCAATCCCCTCTCTTCTAAGATCTCGCATTCTCTCATTCCCTTGTCCAGAGGGGACACCACCTCTGTCTCTGTTTGGCACTGTCACTATTGAGCTGGCAGAGCCGTGAAGCACTTACTGATGCGCCCGACGGTGTGTGTTTGGCCTCGTTTGTATCCCTCACTATCTGCCTTTCATCTCTGTTCCCTGCTGCAGCTTCCAAGAGCCCACCCACCAACCTCGTTATAGACTCGGAGACCTCCACTAGCCTGCAGGTCCGCTGGAGACCCCCTGGCCGCCACCTACAATACTACAGAGTAACCTATGCCCCTGAATCTGATGATCGCGCTCAGCAAACTGTAAGTCCTCAGCTGGTGTGGGACATGCCAGCGTTCGACTAACGAGATGCGGGGCCAGTGTTATTTCTGATGTGTCTCAAAGTCAGCGGGATTATCTCAAGGATAAACTGGGTCAACAGAATACAAGAGCAATTCACCTTCTCTGATTCCTGGGGGCTCTTCCTCTGAGTGGCAGGGTGTTCGACAGGAAGGGGTCGTCCAGTTGCAAAGTCAAACCAAAGCCTTCTAGGCTGTCCTATGGATTTTGTGTATATAAAACAGTGGGAAAATTCATTGGCTTCCATGCTCATCTGACTACAGCTGCCTCTATTATCCCCGCCCACTCCATAAACCAGTGTGGAATTTCCAGCGGGTGATGGATTAAGGACAAATCCCTTATTCTGACCTAAAGTGATGAAGCATTAACCTTTAGCACTCAAATTCTGCTTAGACCCACTTACACGGCAGTTGTATAACAAGGTTTCAAATCCGTCCAGATGGAGAAGGTCCCCGTGTTTATGCAGAATTGCCCAGCACCTACCTAAGCCTTGTCTGATGACTTTCTTTCACTACTCTGTAATTTCAACAGGAAAAGCAAGCAAGAAACCGTGGCTGATAAGACTCCCTCAGTGTTTCTATTTAGTTTAGGCAAAACTGATCTGAGACCAATTTGGATATCCATGTTCCAGAATAAATAAGACAACTTTCAGTGGGAGTTGAATGCCTAATTCTCCATTGTATCTTTTTGAAAATGTTCCCTGGTGAGCTGAAAGTCCCACCATTTAGCAAGAATCTAAGAGCTGCAGCATAGATGGGGTGGAAAAGAATTGGGAGAACAGACCATTTTTTTTGTTTCACTGACAATTACAAAAAAAAAGGATTTTCAGGTTGAATTCAAAATGATTTTTTTCAGAATTTTCAGATAACTAAAAATTATTTTGGATTAAATAAACATTTTGTCAAGTCGTTTCATTTTCATTTAATTCATTTTTAAATGTCTGTAAATTAAAATTAAAAGAAATGTTGAACTGAAAACAATTTTGAACCAAAAAATTGAAATGTTTCATTTAGAAAATGTTGAAAGGAAAGATGTTGATTTTGGGGGGGGATTGAGAAATATTTCAGCAGTCTTGAATCTGCTGTTTTTTGTAGGAAAGGAAGTTTTAGGTGAAAAACTTTTCCAAGTTCTGATAGGGAGTGGGAGTGTGGTTATAGGCTCAGTCTAAATGTCTTTGCTGTGGTCCTGTATTGCCCATTTCTGTCCACACATAAATAAAAGCTGAAAGGAGAATTATGTTAGAGTGTAAGAGATTTTCTCATCTCTGCTGTAGATAATGGTTTCTGGTAAAAGCAGTGGAGTGACCCTGCAGTCGCTGCTTCCCAATACAGCTTACAAGGTGATGGTTTCTGCTGTCCATGACGCAGGAGAGAGTGACTCTGTATCCACTACTGGCCAAACTGGTAGGCAAATCAATAGGCACTTACCTTGTATGTATTGGCCTTTACCCAGAGATCTCAGCTAATATATAAAAGTGTGATGATGTCATTACAGATGACAAAATGAGGAGCAATGGTCTCAAGTTACAGTGGGGGAGGTCTAGGTTGGATATTAGGAAGAACTATTTTACTTAGGAGAGTTGTGTGAAGCACTGGAGTAGGTTACCTAGGGTGGGGGTGGAATCTCCATCCCTAGAGGTTTTTAAGTCCCAGTCTGATGAAGCCCTGGCTGGGATGATTTAGTTGAGAATGGTCCTACTTTTGCAGGAGGTTGGACTCGATGACCTCCTGAGGTTTCTTCCAACCCCATGATTCTATGCTGCTTTGATTACCCCTCTTAGACCGAGGTTTGGAAAGAGTAGCAGGGAAAAGCGATGTTAAAAGTTAAAAGGTCAGAGATCGATTTAGCTAAATTAATCTCAGTGTCACTCAGTAGAAATCAATGGAACTTAAGAACAGCCAGACAGGGTCAGATCAAAAATCCATCTAGCCCAGTATTTTGTCTTCTGAGAGTGGCCAATGCTAGATGCCCCAGAGGGAATTAATAGAACAGGTAATAATTTAGTGATCCATCCTTTGTCACCCATTCCCAGCTTCTGACAAACAGAGGCTAAGAACACCATCCTTGCCCATCCTGGCGAATAGCCATTGATGGGCCTAACCTCCATGAATTTATCTAACTCTTTTAAAATCCTGTTTATAGTCTTGGCCTTGACAATGTCCTCTGGCAAGGAATTCCACAGGTTAACTGTGTGTTATATGAAGAAATATATTTTTTTAAATCTGCTACCTGTTGATTTCATTTGGTGACCCCTAATTCTTGCATTATAGGAAGGAGTAAATAACTCTTTATTCACTTTCTCCACATCAGTAATGATCTTTTAGACTTCTCTCATATCCCCTCTTAGGGTACATCTACACTAGCCCCCTAGTTTGAACTAGGGAGGCTAATGAGGGCAACCAAAATTGCAAATGAAGCAATTTCATGAGGAATAACAGCTAATTCGAGTTAGGGGTTTACTTCGAACTCCCGTTTCACTGCCACGTGTAGATGCAGGCAGTTACTCTGGGCTAGTCAATTTCCAAAATGGCAACTGCCTGGGAACATGCTAATGAAGTGTGGGATATTTAAATCCCGCGCTTCATTTGCAATTTTGGTTGCCCTCATTAGCCTCCCTAGTTCAAACTAGGGGGCTAGTGTAGACGTACCCTTAGTCATCTCTTTTCTAAGCCAAAAAGTCCCAGCTTAATTAATCTCTCCTCATAAGCCAGTCTTCCATACCCCTAATCATTTTTATTACCCTTTTCTTAACTTTTCCCAATGTTAAGATATCTTTTTTGAGATAAGGTGACTACTTCTGCATGCCATATTCAAGATGTGGTCAGACCATGGATTTATATAAAGGCAACAAGTTATAAATCCTCAGATTAGTTTCACCCTTCATACACTAATATGAAGATTTACTTGTTTGTGAAGGATACAAGGTATGTGCACAGGGCCAGACTTTCAGAAGGGTTGGCCACCCTTTTGCAGATGTCATTTGCACACACATTTTAACAGTGGGTATAAACTTGAGTAATACAAATAAAAAAATATATCCAGCTACCAGTCTGTTTGCAGATTGGGTAGTTGGAGGTGCAGATACACAGTTACACAACCACAGTCCATTCTGCAGGCACAAAAATGAGGGTGCAACATCTTCCAGGCACAACTTGTGCCAGGGCCAGCCCACAACATTTTGGCACCTGAGGCGAGGAGCTCAAATGATGCCCCCATGCCACCTTTTCTCCTGCCTGCCTGTTATGTCTCTTGTGCCCTCCTTCCTCCGGCACCGCGCTCCTCCATCCCTGTGCATCTAGAGCAGAGAGAATACAGATGCACCAGCAGCAGACACAATTTTCTACACTCTGGGTCCTAGTGGCGCCCCTCCCCCACAGTCTGGCACCTGAGGCGACCGCCTCAGTTCACCTCATGGTAAGGCTGGCTCTGACTTGTGCCCTGCAAAGGAAGTCATGTCCTTAGCCCTTCTGCAATTTCCAATAGGAAAAGGAACATCCAGCCTCTTTAAAGGGGAGTGAGATGGGGGACAGTAGGCCCACATCTGGAACAATGGGACGGAGACACCGCTCCAACAACGTGCCCATCCCATATCACATTCCCAAGTCCTTGCTTGCAGTCGGAAGGGAGAGCAGGGAGGGCCTAATGACCATAAACAATAGTGAGCCAGACACCACCACCCCAGAAGCAAGACTCACAGATGCATTTATTCTTACAGCTTCTGCTTTGGCGAAACCACCCCCAACGCGCGGATTTGCTCCTTTCAAAACAGAGGGTAAGTCCTGTGTGAGAGAGCTGAAATTTACAAGCAGCCTCTTGCAGTAGCAACTCCATTTCAGGTAGGGCGAGGTGGGAGACACTTCTCACACCGCGGACGGTGATGCTGGGGGACATGTATCTTTCCAGCGGGAGTCTAGCGTAAACCCAGCAGGTGCAAATGTAACCCAGACCCTGCTGGACGTGGAGCTCTATCCCGCTAGAACCTTGATGAGACTACCACAGCCTGGTCTGAGAGGAATGTGGCCTTTAGCTCATACACTACACTTCAGAGGTCCTAGATACAATCCTGCCCATTCGTGACCAGAGTCAGGCCTGCTGATTTAGGGTGGGAGGGCAAAGACAGCAGTTGCCATGAGGGCCAGTAATTCAAAAGTGCCAGAGCTCCTGGCTGCTGCCACTGCTACTGGTTTCTTTAAATAGCTGCTGGAGCACTGTGTGGTGTGCTCCTGGAGGCTCTCAGAGCTGGCCGAGAGATAGGAGACCAGCGCAGTGCACTCTGGGGGATGCTGGGTGCCCCCCCGTCCCTTCCACCCAATGCTCTGCCCCTTTCGGGAGTGCTTAGCCTCACCCACCTTGTCCAGGGGCCCAGCAAGTCTATCGCCCCCGCCCCGACTAGCATCTGTCAGTGTTACAAGTACGGGCTTGTCGGGGATATTCACTGGGCAGACTCTGAAGGTTAGGATGCCCTTCTTCAGTCAGGGGCTGGGGGTCAGGCCGACCTGCTCAAGTGGTTACACTTGATAGATCAGGGACTGCAATCCCGGGCCTGGTCTGAGAACGGTGGGATTCTACCCCTGGACAGAAGGGATAGAAGGAGCCCTCTGAGAGACCACAAGGGGTCAGAGGTGGAGCTCACCCAAGAACTGACCATTTCAAGAGAATCCTTTCCGTTACTGCATTCCCCATTGCTGGTGCTAATCCCAAGTTGATAGAATTCTTCCAGAAAGAAAAACGTGCGTTTATGTGCTTGCAAATCAATGGACCTCAAAATAAAGGAATCCAATGGAAAAACTCCACCCATTTGGTTTAGTACCCGATTTCCACAATCCCAGAGCCATCAAATTCACAGCCTTCAGGTCAGTTTCACCCCCCCCAGGTATCCTCTGGTACCCCCAGCTCACAGTTGGTGCATGAGAGGGGTCCCAAATTAATGCAGTGAACTGGGCTTTTCAGATGCACACTGGTTTGCCGAGTTGAAAGAGGAGGGAATGGGCAGCTCTTCCTGCCTTTTACAGTTGTCAGATACTTGGAAATTGGAACCCTGCTTGCCTGGTGAGCTATGAAATACCAGACGATAAAGTAATAGCAACAGAATGTTTATAATGAAATCTTAATGTAATGAGCTGCTAAGCTGCATTAAACTAGTGACTGACCTACAAAGCCATTTATGAAATAGCCCAACCTCTCCAGTGTGCTTGATTTTCAGGGACATCTCTGACTTCAAATATTTCCCTTGTCCCAGTTCCATCTGGTATCCATGGCCTGGGATTTGAACAGCAAATAATTGAAAGTAGCATCCGCGCTCTGTTTTCTAAAACACTGCCCTACTCAAGCCACTTAAATGGGGAGAGCACTTTATAACTTGTCACCAGAGAGCTTTTGATTCTGGTCCTTTTGTCCCTAATTTGTATGAGCAGCAGCCACATACTGCGCTCTAGCTGCCTGAGGGAGGTTATAAGACCGAGCGGAAGATGTCCTGAAACAGCAAACGGCAAAGGTTTGCCAATTGTTATTTTAAAGATTAAGTTCCAAAAGGTAATAACAAAGGAGTGAAAATGAAAGAATGCACTTAAGGCCTGATTTTCAGTATTACGTGGCCATGCGTACTCTGTGTGTGTGCAATTACCACAATGGTATATGCACTCCTGGTAATTGCCTATGCCCATTTTGTGTCTAAATGTATGCACCCCTTTTTGTGCATGTCGTGACTTAGATTAGCTTCTGAGAATCTTGGCCTTACCACTAGAAAATTATTTACCTTCCGCAACGATAATACCTCAGCTTCACAGCAAAAAGGAGTGTGCAGTTGTGTTCCTTTATTTTGCAATGCCATTAGTGCAATTGTTCACCTCGGTGGTTCTCAAACTTTTTAACCTGTGGCCCACCCCGCTAAAGCAGACCTTTCTGTGGACCACCAGTCACCCAACCATGGAGACAAAATGGGTACAGGACGGGGTGGGAGTGTGGGCAGCCCCTGATGGCTGGCCAGCTCCCAGGGTGGGTGGGGGGGCTGGTCTGGGGCTGCCACTGAGGGCAGGACTTGAACCCACCACCGTGTGCTCCCCCGATGTGGGTGGGAGGGTGCAGGAGCAGACTGGAATTGGGGGTCTGTTGGGATTCCGGCCAATGGGAGCAGTGGGGAAAGTCTCCAGGTGCTTGGTTTCCTGTACTACTGTTTTCCCAGCTGAGGAAAATGGGAGTGACAGCGTGTGGAGCTGCTTCCTCCTCCTGTGAGCTGGATCTGGCCTGCAAGACTCAGGGCTCCCTCCTCCCTGTAGCAGGAAGCCAACTTTGCAAGGGGGGGGCATGCACAGGCTCCCCGCTGCAGGGGGAGAAGACTGAGCCCTGAGCCCATGGCCCACCTGTAAGACATTCGCAGACCACTAGGTGATCCACGGACCACACTGATTTAAACAGACTGGGCAATTACAGATACATTACATGTTTAGGAGTCAAGGAGCTGACCAGAAATACAGATGTATATAAATCCCATTATAATGGCATTTAAGACCACAGTGAGCCAGCAGTAGTAGAAGATTGAATCAAAACAAAGTTACTGTGGAGGGGCTTACTGACAAAGGACAATCATTTCAAAGGCTTTAGGGGTGAGTGAGCCGTGAAAAACTTTGCAGACTCCCATGTTTGCATGTGCAAATTGGCTAAGTGCATATGCAGCTTCTTGTCATAGACCCACACTGGCATGGAGAATACATTTGCAATCAGTGGATCTACCAGCCTTTGAAAATATGCCCCGAATGTACACTGTTAATTGCCCATAAACGTAATGATTATGGCTTCCATCAGGCTGGGCCCTGGCCTTGAAGAATTGACCACACTGTAGGATATTGCGTTATATGGGCCAAGATGTCTATACAGAATCACTCACTAGGTCTCTGTGTGCTTTCCATGCTGTTGCAGGCCACGGCCAGAGCTGCTCCATTCCTATATTACACTGACAGTTTGGCTTCCCTTGGGTCTCATCATTTGTCCTGTTTTTTTTTTTTTTCCTCCTGCAGCTTGCCCCACTCTGAGCTCCACTGAAGGCTCTCTGCAAGGTACCGTCCTAGTTCTCAGTCCCAAGCAGGCTCTGTCCTGAATGTAGAAGCACTGTCTGATCATCACTCAACTTTAATCCGCATCACTGTTAGGAAGGCTTACCAGGCTCACATGATAGTTGTCTTCCCCACCGCCTGGGTGCGGTTGCTAAGTCTGATGCATTTCCTACATATCCCTCTTGGATTGAGTGTCTAATTCCACCCTTCCAAGCTCATCTACGGCAGCTGTCATGGTGGAAGGGCAGAAGTCTGCCTTCTTCAGGTCACGTGATCCATTGTACCGGGAGTCCTGGCACATTAGGTTTTTCCTGGCTGTTCTAAGACTGAATTCTTTCTCCCTACAAGAGGAGCCCTTTTAAAAGTGAAATCCTTTAGAAATCCCCTGGAAAGCCCTCCCTTTGTTGTCTAACTCCCATACTTTATTATCCCCCTCTCTTCTCTGCCCATAATGCTTCCTTCCTTTTCTGCTCACGACATGCCCTCTTCCACCATGGGGAGTTTGCTGTTGCTAGGTTTTTGCATTCTACCTGTTCCATCCCCCACCAGGGCCAACCTGTGTTTTGGGAACAACTAGCGGTTAAAGCAGGGGATTGTAAAGCCCATAAGCAAATTAAACATCTAACTTCCAGTGCTTTGCAAGGGGATTTGTCTGCCTAATGCACTTACGCTCCTCCAGTAACCCCCCACCTAAAGGTTTTCCCCTTTCCCTCCACCAAGGCAAACTCTGCAGCTTGTAAAGGCTATAGACATGCCAAAGCCCGATGTCAGGACTCAGATGGTCTATATTTCATGGGAGGAGCTCTGTATCCTCTTTATACACTGTAGGGCCCATTATACAGAGCTTGCCATCTAGGAAGTGACTTGTTCTCCCAGCGTGGTAGCTCCAGCCCCCATCTTCTCAGAGATTCAGAACACCCCATCCCTGGCTAAGGTGCGTCTACACTTGAGCTGAGAGCTGCGATTACCAGCTAGTCTAGACATACCCATGCTAGCTGTGGTCGAACTAGCACCTAAATCAGCAGATATCTGCAGCTCCATAGGCCGCAGTTCAGGCTAGCTGCTCAAGTCTGGACCCAGGGATCAGGCAGGATCGTGCTGGATGGAGCCAGCCATGGGGCTGCGGACACACTGCTGTTTTTAAGTGACAGCTTGAGGGGAGCGAGCGTGGGTACAACCACGCGGGCTGGAAATCACGCCTCCCAGCTCAGATGTCGACATCCCCTTAGTGTATCTGTGCCTGAGTTCCCCACCCACAAAATGAGAATAGGAGTTCTCGGCCTCATGGGGGCAGGGCCGGCTCACAATACTTTGGCACCTGAGGCGGGGAGCTCAACTGACACCCCCATGCTCCCTCACTTGGGCCAAAACTTTGAAAGGTCTCAATTCTCTGGGTTCTAGTGGCCCCCCCCCCCCCACAGCCTGGCACCTGAGGCGGTCACCTCAGTTCGCCTCATGGTAAGGCCGGCCCTGCATGGGGGTGTTATGAGGACACACACAGACAGGGAGGGGCTCAGATCCTGAGGTAAAGGGGACCAGACCAGTATCTAAGATCCACAGCCTGCCCTGTTTGACCACGCTCCCCACATTCCTGCAAGACTCCTCAGTTTGTCCATTTCTAGACCACACTAATCAACCCATCCCACCCACGGCAACATCGCTTTGCCTGTGATTTTTGGCGGATGTCCCCACGAGTACTTTTGTCAGTAAAACTTTTGTGGGTCAAGGATGTGAAAAAAACACACACGCCCGGAGAGACCCAAATTTCACTGAAAAAAGGATGGGTGTTGACAGCACTGAGTTGGCAGGAGATGCTCTGCTTCCACCATCGCTACTGCCGCTCATTAGGGTAGCTTAATTATGCCCACAGGAGTGCTCTCTCCCACCAGCGTAGAGCAGCTACACAGGAGACCTCTCGGCGGCGCAGCTGCGCCACTCCAAGTCTGTAGTGTAGACGTAGCCTGAGTAACTACCTTGCACGAAACAGGCGATCCATCAACAGAAATAGCCCAGTGTCATAGCCTAATTCATTGGTGGATTAATATTGTTGTTTGAAATGCATTTTAATGGAGGTGATAATACGCACGTCCCAGGGTCCTTAAATCAGAGAGAAATGGGTCTGAAACAAATCAGATTAATCTGATGAACATTGCAAATGCTGCATCATGCTACTGTGCATGAGAGCAGCCCAGATGCAAAATGCCCACCAGCACCAAGATCCAGTCAATGGTATGTGGCGGTGAGGCGGGAGAGTACAGACTGAAAGGGAAACGTTGGGATGGACGTGTCCCTCTTTCTCTTTAAAACAAACTTATTTCCCCTCCCTCCTGTAAGTTCTGATAAACTTTCAACCCCGACTGCAAGGGCTGCTTGTATTAAACTCTGAAACAAGAAAGTGACTCATAGAGCTTTAATGATGAGCTGGGAAAGAGAGATGAAGCTACATGAAGCTGGAGATGAGATGTCAGAGATGTCAGAGGAAAAATCTTTGTAGACCACAAACGGCAGGTCACCTCTGGGCAGTACTTGGAAAATGAAGAGAGAAATGGAAATATTTTCCCAACTTTCATGGTGCTCACACATGGGAGGATACGTTTTGTAGCACAAAATAACTCTCTCTCTTTTTTCCCTTCCGTAGGCAATTACTGGACTGAAGCAACTTCTTTTAGGATGATATTTTACATTAAGTTAAAAAGGCAAAACTCATTATAACTTGTGGTTTTTTTCCAAACATATTTTTTTAGAGATTTTTTTCATTTTGTAGATTTTTTTTTAAAAGTGCCACTCTTAATTATTAGACATTGCTACAGTAGCTGAATCCCTCCTGAACAATAATTAATTCATTCCAGAACAAATAGCTCAAATGTATTTTTATGGTTCCTAAGTGGCAGCCTGTATTTCTCTCTCTCTCTGTGTGTGTGTGTATGTATATATATATATATATATATAAAGTTTTTTTTCACTGGGTGACAGAATGACGTCATCACGCTTTCACTCTCTCTGGACGTCATCATGCTTTCGTGCTCTCTGCCTGTGAAAACTGCGGGGGGGAGGGGGGGTTGGCAAGTTTGGCAAATGGCAGGCACAGCCCCATAGTAATTTATAAAAATCAAGGATGATAAAGTAAGGAAACAAAGACCTGCTGGATCTTACACATTCACATAGTGAATAAACATGGTATTTTTCTCAAATTAAAAAAAAAATCATAAAACACCCTTAATGCTGCCCCATAATGCATATTATTCATTCATCATGTATATCAAAATAAATCTATTGGCTCCATGTTAGTGCCTAATCAGCTAAACAACACTACTCTCCAGCTAGCTCACTGAATTTCTGTGGGCTTTTAATAATCTCTGCTGAAAAATGTGACTAATAATGCACTTGTATAGTTAATTTTCATTTATAGATCTCAAGGATCATTACAGAGGTGAGCATTGCTATCTCTACCTCGCAGCTGGTCTAACCAACATGATCTGAAGCATTTTGTATGGTATCATGAATAGACAAAGGTTGATCACTTCAGGGAATCAGGTTCTGTTCACACCAACTCAACCACAAAAGTTCCCTGTAACTTTTAACAAGTTACTTAGAAACAAAGTTTCAAAAGTGCTCAGCCCATTTTTCCAAATGGGGAGAACTTGCAGTTGTTCCCAAAGCGGGGAGCTGGGTTCCAGGCACTTTGGAAAATCTAGCCTGTTCCTCTTTTACCTGCGTCTGGGAAATGGCTCTGTGAATAATTCTCCTAGGCCAAAGGGATACTTTAATGAGAAACACAAAGAAAAGTCAGATCATTGACACAGTATGTAGCGTGTTTTGGTCAGCATAAGGTTTTGATCAGGCTGTTTATTAGTTATGCCTACTAGCCTTTCTACTAACTGGAATACACTTGCCCTTGGAGAAAACAAAGAAGAGCCGTTACTCCGGCAGATCTCTTACAAAACAATATTTTCCCTACTGACTCAAAGTGTTTTTTTTTTTCTCTGCCTTTCTCTATCTGCTCCAGGATTTGATATGATGGAGGCTTTTGGATTGGTGGAAAAAGAATATGCCTCCATTAAAGGAGTCGCTATGGAACCATATGTGTTCAGTGGAACACGTACTTACACTCTCTTCAGAGATATTCAGCTCACCCGGAGAACAAGGTAGTTTGGGAAATGAATTGAGAAGTGCATTGATTCCAAAAAGCGTTTATTCTCTGTCTGTTGCATAAACATTGGCAGTTGTTTGCACGATGAGTGTGGGGGTAGATACTGGCCTCGTGAACACTCCACTGGCAATTTCCTAGTGAAAATCCTGTGAAAATTAATCCCACCCTGGTGAAACTGAAAAGAAAGCAAAGATTTTTTTCCCACCTTTGGGGGCTCTGCATTGTGTGCTGATCCATAAATCAACCTCCGAATTGCCTCACGATGGATCACGTGATGGGACATGTCACATAGGAGCTTCACTGAATACACGGGGATGGTTGGGACATTGAGTTTTTGCAAGGCCAAGCTCAGACTTTAGGTGCCTTCAGGGAACTTCCTTGTTTGAGCTGTACACCTTCAGTATCCCGGCTGTGCAAAATTAAGCGCTAAAAGACAGCATGGGATGAACTATAATATGCGGGGCCCCAAGGAAGCCAGCTGAGGATACATTGCAAGAGAAATGGGATGGCCAATCCCCAGAGCTCGTGGTTATTCCGATATTTATAGTCACCACAATAGGGGGCCAACAGCTTACCCCCCAGAAGGGCGGTGCCTCGGGATGAAGGGGTGGGGCCAGTGCAGCCGGCTCTCAGCACTGCCCAGACTATGGCACTAGCCCTCCGAGCCATGGGGAGCACACAGTGCAGTGATCCAGTGTCGATTTAAAGAGCCCAGGGCTCCAGCCGCCATCTCTGTCCCAGTTGTAGCAGCCAGGAGCCCTGGGGCCCTTTGAGTCACCAGGCCCCGAGGCAACTGCCTCTTTGCCCCCCCCCCCCTTTCATTGGCAGGCCTGGTCACCCAGCTAGCACAAAACAGCTTCTGTATTACCTTATTGATCAATCAGAGTACAAACCACGCAGTTCCTTGAAGGACCCAGCCTCCACCATCCACTAGACACCCAGTCAAATAAAGTCCGACTGATCCCAAAGGATCAGACCTGCCAAGTCAATGAATATTTCAGACCTTATCCCAAATTCATGATTATAGCTAATTCTTATTAACTAACCTGCAATTTATTAAAAAGAAAAAAGAGAGCGTCTTGGTCAAAAAATGAGTGTATATATGAACATGAGTTCAGTTACAAAACAGAGATGATGATCTTCTAGCTGAAAAAAGTTCCTCTAGGCTTACTCTACACTATGGCTGCATCTAGACTGGCAAGTTTTTCCACAAAAGCAGCTGTTTTTGTGGAAAAACTTGCCAGCTGTCTACCAAGAACACTGACGATCTCATGTAAGATTGTCAGTGTTCTTGTGGAAATACTGTGCTGCTCCCAGTCGGGCAAAAGCTCTCTTGCGCAAATGCTTTGGCGCAAGAGGGCCAGTGTACACAAGAGGGCCAGTATTGTTTCGCGCAAAAAAGCCCTGATTGCAAAAATTGCGATTGGGGCTTTCTTGCGCAAAACTTTGTCTAGATTGGCACGGACACTTTTCCGCAAAAAGTGCTTATGCGGAAAAGCATCCGTTCCAATCTAGACACTCTTTTCTGAAAATGCTTTTAACGGAAAACTTTTCCGTTAAAAGCATTTCCAGAAACCGCTCTTTTCCACAAATGCTTTCAACGGAAAAACTTTTCCGTTAATAGCATTTGCAGAAAATCATGCCAGTCTAGACGTAGCCTATGAGTTGTGCCAAAAGAGGCAATGCAAATGAAGCGCAGATTAGCATTTTCTCATGCTTCATTTGCTTTGCCTCTTTGACAAAACTCAAGGGGCTGTGTCTACACTGGGCCACTTATTCCAAAAAGCAGCCGCTTTTCCGGAATAAGCTGCGAGCTGTCTACACTGGCCCCTTGAATTTCTGGAAAAGCACTGATGATCTACTGTAGGAAATCAGCTGCTTTTCTGGAAAACTATGCTGCTCCCGCTCGGGCAAAAGTCCTTTTTCTGGAAAACTGTTCCGGAAGAGGGCCAATGTAGACAGCACAGTAGTGTTTTCTGCAAAAAAGCCCCAATTGCGAAAATGACGATTGGGGCTTTTTTGCGGAAAAGTGCGTCTACATTGCCCACGGACACTTTTCCGGAAAAAGGGTTTTTCCGGAAAAGCATCCTGCCAATGTAGACGCTCTTTTTCCGGAAATACTTATAATGGAAAACTGTTCCGTTTTAAGCATTTCCGGAAATTCATGCCAGTGTAGACGTAGCCATAGAGTGTATCTAGATTATAGGGTTTTTTTTGAAAAAAGTGGTCTTTTTTAAAAAAAACTTCCCCTGCATCTAGACTGCTGCTGCATTCTTTTGAAAGTAAATCAAAAGAACGCGGCAGTTTTTTCGATCGCGGTAAACCTCGTTTTACAAGGAAGAACGCCTTTTTTCGAAAGTACTCTTTCGAAAAAAGGCACTATGTAATGCAAACTGTGCTTTTTCGAAAGAGAGCATCCAGACTGCGTGGGCGTTCTCTTTCGAAAAAGCGGCTTGTTTGTTTGAAAATACTGGTTGTAGTCTAGACGCTTTTTTTTGAAAAAGCCTCTTTCGAAAGAGGCTTGCAGTCTAGACGCAGCCATAGTGTAGCTATAGCCTGAGAGTTTAGTCCATGGTTATATCCTAAATCCATATCCACGGTGATTCCAGCCAATGACTAAGATCTCAATCCTCGTGGCTTAGGTTTTTCCTATGTGAAACCTCAAGCAGATCTGAGACCTTAAGTCAGTGTTCATTAAAGAGACACCAAGATATCCTGCTTCCTCCATGAGCATCCAAGCAGATATGAGCCAAAAAGGATCAGGGCCCAAGGACCTTTTTACAGTTGCAGCAGCACTTTGGCCTGGGAGAACAGAATAGTCTTTTGATGTAACCTCATGGTAATTAAACATCACATAATCATCTGAACAAGTGAGTTGTGCCCACGAACGCTCACAATACATTTTTTGTTAGCGTCTAAGGTGCTGCAAGACTATTTGTTGTTTTTCCAGCAACAGACTAACTTGGCTACCCCTCTGAAACTTTATCCATTAAGCACTTTCTCACAAACTTTAAAGAGAATTCTTGGCATTGACATTATCTCACCCAAGATTAATCTAAATGTTAATATTCCCTTTTGATCTCTGAATCAACAGTTACTGTGATAGACAGGAAATGTCTGATTACATGGTTAGCCCCTGTAAGACATAACTCAACACATATAACCACTGTGACCTCTAATTTCTAACCATACGGGTTTGCATTTCAAAGCTCCAGCCTAAGGAGCATTGAATGAACAAGGAGGAGTTTTGAGGCACCTTAGAGACTAACAGATTTATTAGGGCATGAGCTTTCATGGGTAAAACCCACTTCATCAGATGAATGGGAGTGGAAGTTACAGAAGCAGGAGATCTATATAAGGAAGAAGTTGCTTGTGGGAGTGGAAGTTTCAATTCCTAAGTTGATAATGATCAAATAAGAATCTCAACTGGTTTAACACACTTCAAAGGCAATTTCCCCTCTCTGGGTGCTCACATCTCCACATCAAAGGCGGTGAATAAGCCACTTCCATCCAGACATGATCAACCTAATTAACACGAGCAACTTCTTCCTTATATAGACCCCCGCTTCTCTAACTTCCACTCCAATTCACCTGATGGAGTGGGCTTTACCCACAGGGCTCTTCATTGTTTTTGCAGATACAGATTAATGTGGCTACCCCCCTAAGACTAGCATTGATTGGCCTTTATTACCATCTTTCTCACATGCCTCTACAAGTTGACTCTAGGTCATTTGGCCTGGGACTGTTTAACCCGTTCAGGCTTTGTGTCCTACTTAGCACAAGTTTGGTTGCAGCAATAGAACCGTGTGTGCAACCATGATGGGTATGGCCACATTTAAATCAGATAACATCCCCTGACCATAGAATTCTGTTGAATCGTCCTCTATTGTCCTCTGTTGGGGATACATGTAATTCTTTCCACAGCCACTCCTCTCCTCGTCCTCCTGTACTTAAAAGATCAAAATCTGAGGTACAGCCTTGGCAGGAAACATGATTGGAACAGGACCTTTTAAACCTCTTTCACCCTTTCTCCTTATGTTCCTGGTCTGCAGTCCAACAGTGACTGCTCTAAAATACAAGCTCATGGCTGTGCCGGGCAGCTTAATTTTGATTGACAAGAAGGATTACCCAGTGACTTTGGAATATGACTATTCTGGGCACTCCTTTAGTTGGGCTCCTTCTCAGAGTCCTATGAATTTTCATGGGCCACCTTTCATTCCAGGCAGCATCAGTGACCTCAGTAGCATTATGGAGTATAAATCAGGGCAGAGTTGACTCTTAATAGTCAGTTTTATTTTATTTTGAAGCCTAATTACTACAGCGTGGGGATCATTTTAATCTTATTTAAAGAAGCAAAGCTTCTTACAGCAAACAGAGGAGTCAGAAGGCTCTAAGTCTTTAGAAAAGCATAGACAAATCCATTTGCTCAACCAATAGAAGTATCAGACACACAGATATGCCCTTTCAAGGACATTATATCATTTAAACCAAACAAAACTTGATGTTACATTTGAATCAGTCCTGAAAAGATGGTGGAAGAACTGTGTATTTACAAATGTGGCCCCATGCGGATTATGAATACATGAGAACGATGGCTAATTTTGCTTTCTTCATTCAGTTTTGATCTATGGCTATGGAGTGACGTTTGCATTCAGTAAGTGCTTTGTAACAACTTTGGAACTGAAGTCCAGAGGAGAAAGCCGCCCCTTATCAGAAATCCAGGGCTGGACTTGTTACATGGCCTCTCACAGGTTTCCTTCTTGAGACCCCTTGACAACTGGGTGGCTGATGTGATCTTAGTATGGCTCCTGCTTCTCTCTTTGCAGGGGATTTCTAAGGACCTCTGTCAAGGCCTGATGATCTTCCCTTAGTTTTTCTACCCCATCCATCACAGCCATCATTCATCCTTCTTGACAAAAAGGTCTGGGTAGGAGTCTTTCAGAGCCAAGCAAAGTAGCTCCATGAGCTACCAGAACTGTCTCTTTTGAGGCTGAATTTGCTGATTCTCTTCAGCATTCCCTGACCCAACACAGGGCGTGACAGAGTGGCCATGACGACTGTACCTGGACCTCCTTTGTGAAGCTGTGAAAAGGCCACAGGGATTCCCTGAATATGCAAATTTTTCAGGTGTCTTTAAAACCCAAGAGAACTGTACAAAATATGAACCAAATTCTCCACTGGGATAACTCCTTCAGCTGGACTATCCCAGAAGAGAATCTGAGAATTTGATTGCCACAAATGAGCTTCATTCAGGCCATCACACCTCAACAGCTTAGAACGGTTCTTGTTGCCAGGCTGGTAACATATTTGCCCTCTGGTGTTCATGATCATTAGTCATGGAGCTGACTTCTGCCTGTCTCATTCCAGTGAAGTGCTTCTCTCTGGGATCCCACCTGTGCATACCATCAGCATCCTCCTTCGACTCCTCCCGGAGGCTCCCAAAGAGCCCTTTGCCGTGTGGCAGCTAACAGATGTGAACTTCCAGCCACTCCTCGGCGTTATACTTGACTGTAAGGTTTCATGTAACATAGCTTAGATCCAGGTATTTGAAAGAGTAACAGAACCAACTTCTATATGCAGTTGGATAGTTTTATTGTTGAAACTTGGAACCTTAAAAAAGCTTTCAAAATAAATTATGCAAATATTTTACTTTATAATTAAAAAGCCACTAAAACTTGAATTTTGTTTACTCCATTTTATAATGTATTCTTTATTTTGACCACTGTTTTTCCTTTTTTTTTTTTTGGTGCTTTTAAATCTTGATCAGTATTATGTATTTCAGTATGTCTAAGCCTATATGTATTGTTTTCAACATACAGTAGGTGAAATCAAATTCTATTTTTAATGCTAAGTTCTTGTTTGTCCTATTTTCCCTTATAGCCAGTAAGAAATCCTTGACCTATTTCAATCATGACTACAAGGCTGATTTGCAGGAAGTCACCTTTGACCAACAGGAAGTAAAGAAGATATTCTATGGGAGCTTTCATAAGGTCCTTATCAAGGGAGGGAGTACCTTAGATTATTATTGCAAGAGGGCAGGCTGAGGGGAAAAATGCCATGAATATATATTTGTACTCAGAAGTGGTTCTACAAATGTTCTTCAAAAAGTCATCAGCAAATTGGCTAACCTGTTTGTGTTGATTTGCAATTGTAAGGAATTTTGGGTCATTTCATGAGACAAATACATCTTTCCCAAGTATTCAGTAGTTCTTAATAGGCAGTGTTAGATATATTTTATATACTCACATGTATTTTAAATACATCTACACATTACAAACTTGGCTAATTATATTTAAAATGTACTATTTGGTGTGAACATTAAATATTGACTCAGGCTACGTCTACACTACAAGTTTTGCCACAAGAGCCTATGCAAATGAAGCGCGAATTAACATTTTCTCATGCTTCATTTGCATACTCTTATCCGATCCGTTTCTGCGCTAGGGGTTTTTGTGCAAAAACAAGCAGTATGGATGTTTCCTTTTTGTGCAAAACCCCCTTTTTGCACCAGATCCTTATGCCTCAAAAAAGGAGGTTTACTGATCTTGTGCAAAAAGGGGTTTTTGCGTAAAAAGAAAATGTGCACACTGCTTGTTTTTGTGCAAAAACTTCTAGCGCAAAAATGGATGGGAAGAGAGTATGCAAATGAAGTGTAAGAAAATGCTAATCCATGCTTCATTTGCATAGTCTCTTGTGGCAAAACTCATAGTGTAGACATAGCCTCAGAGGTGTAACCATGTGAGTGTGTAATTTTACAAACAATGAGTTGTCCTGTGGCACCAGACAGACTAACAAAAATATAAAGAATCATGAACTTTCATAGCTTTTGATGTGAAAATGTGGATGTTAAAGGCAGGAGAAATTGGCTTTGTAATACACCAATCAGTTAATGCCTTTATTCAAGCCCAGGGTAACAATGTCAAATTTATAGATGAATTCAAGTTCTGCAGACTTTCTCTGTATTTGGTTAGTGAAATTCCTTTGTAGAAGAATGACTACTTTAAAATCCATGATTGAGTGGTCAGGCAAGTTAAAATATTCCCCCACAGGTGTATGTATATTACCATTTCTGATGTCTGATTTGTGTCCATTTTCACATCAAAAGCTATGAATGGGGCACATCCAGCTCACTTAATTAGCCTCATTAACATGGGTCCCCCAACTGACAAGTATTTCTGCTGCTGTTATATATATCTTGGTTTCTGTTATTTCCAGTTGGGTTCATCTGATGAAGTGGGTTTTGCCTATGAAAGCTCATGATTCTATATTTTTGTTAGTCTCTCAGGGTACATCTAGACAGCACCCTTCTGTCGGAATAAGCTATGCAATTTGCGCTACACAAATTGCGTAGCTTATTTCGAGTCTAAATCGAAAGAGCTTATTTTGAAATTTGACGCTGACTACACTGCACCAAATTTCAAAATAAGGCACTATTCCAACAAATTCTTTAAGCCTCATGGAATGAGGGTTACAGGGATGCCAGAGTAGCCCACCTGTTGTTTCAGGAAATAGTGGGCACTTTTAAAGATGCGGCATTGCTATTTTGGGATACTTCCGGTATCCTGAAAGAGGAACGCAGTCTAGATATACCCTAAGTTGCCACAGGGCTATTAAATACTGCAGTAGTGAAATATAGGTAATGTATATTAAAGCACAAGCTTCCCTTTTAAATATTACTTTTTCCAGTTTTGTACAGCAAAACTATTTTTTATAAATGGTTATATAACCATCCTGTGAAAAATATGTATTTTTCTCCACAAGGGATGCGCTATCCGAGCTAACAGAGTTACTCATTCAGTTCATTCGACTTGATTTTAGTGCTGCCACTGACATGTCTCAACTGATCTGTTCATTAGAGTGTATGTATGTCCATTTATGATGCAGTGGGGTTTAACCAGGGGTGCATAGAATTTCGCTTATGTAATTGCAGTTCCTTTTTTTCTCTGGATATATAGTTGAAATGCCGCCTCTGGTCCTGGCCACATGAAGATTTGAGCAGTTAAATAGTCTCTTTGAAGTCAGCAAAACTACTTATGGCTTTAAAGTTAAAAGTATGTGTAGGTCTATGGAGAAGCAAGGTGTAAGGGCAAAAGAATTTGGGGGGGGTCTTAGTTTAGTCCTGGCCCATGCTGTAAAATCAGCACTCAGTTCATCAGAAGGAATTGTTTACTCAGGAGGGGCAAAGGCCTGGAATTGCAAGGCCTGACTGTAGTATGAACTGGGGGTCAAGGGACATAGGCTTAGAAGTAGGATTTTGTGGGGAAATGGAGTAAGCTATGAAAGAGCAGGACAAGCTAGGCTAAAATGAGATTACACCAGTGCCAGGGGAGCTTGCTTAGTGGTCCACTGCTCTATTTCTGGGTGTCACAGGGGTTACCAGTTTTTCTTTCACGCCCATCACTTTCATCCTCATACCGCTGCAATAATTAAAAAGGATAATGTAGGACACAGGATGGTACCAAAGGGAGGCGGTAGGGTATGTGATAGCTCCATAAGTTTACGTGATGTGAGGCAGTAAGGTATGGGATAGACCTATAGTTTGTCCAGTGGGCACAGCTATTCACTCTGCAACCCCATGAACAGGTGGGTTAACACAGAGTGCATTCTAAGGCTCTGCTACAGATTTGCTGGGTAATCTTGGGCATGCCTCACTCCTTCCCATGCCTCAGTTTCCCCATCGGTAAAACTGGGGATAATGTCACATGTTTTGAGCTCTAATGATGAACAGTGCTAGATAAGGACAAGGTGATGGGATCCATCCTAGCTGCAGTGTTAGAGTGATCATGGTTGTAAGCTCAAAGTTGGGGGCACCTGGCAAATTTGCCCTGTGTGGCACCTTAAAGACTAACAGATATATTTGGAGACAAGCTTTCATGGGTCAATAAACATGCCTCTGATGAAAAGATTTTTACTCACGAAAGCTGATGGCCAAATAAATCTGTTAGTTTTTAAGGTGCCACAGGACTCCTCATTATTTTTGCAGATATAGACTAACACGGCTCCCCCTCTTAGGCTTGTTTTGTGTCGTTTTGTGTTAAATATGCATGAGAAAAACACCTTCTTCTTCTTTCATCTCTACCAAACATCATCTTTGTCTTTGCTGTTAATAACCACTTTCCAAGCAGTATAATAGCCGTGAGACTGAGAACAGCACTAGATAATTGTAAAAGAAGGGCCCTGTATTTTTCTTGTGTGGATAACAAAAGAGATCTTTGTGATAAAGTACAGACCTTACATTACAATGCTCAAGGATTGCAAATGGATATTCTTTCACCACCAGCTGACCACTTCAAATCTGGGCCAAGTTGCTAAAGACAGTAGAGCTGATTGCAAGTGAAAAATAATAATTCCATGCACACCTCTATTTGTTTGTTTGTTTATTAATTGGAATTCAAAATTTTAGAAAAGTTTAACTTGTTTGGCTGAATGTCAGGGAACATTTTTTGGTGAAAATTTCATCAAAATATCCCACTTTTTTTAAATTTAAAAATTGAAACCCTCCTCTCAATTAGGACATTACAATTAGACTTGTACAAATAGTGGACTTTTTGGTTTGGGAATCAATCAGAAATCTTTGGGGAGGAAGTTTATGTGGTTTGGTTCTAGCTGCAACTGACTTTTTTTGATTGATTTGAGTCAAACAAAACAATTGTGGGGACTTTAATTTTGTTCCTGGTAATTTTTGGGATGTTTTCTCACTTTTTTTTTTTTTTTTGCGGTTCCAAATTGGCTGTATCTCAAAATAAAACATCGTTTTGTTTCAAAATATCAAAAGAAAATAGTTCAATTT